GACCGTTCGCGTGGTAAGCGTGCCACTTGCCACTACATCACTTTCGCCCACACGCCAAGATACTACTTGCATTTCCCCAATTGCTTAGCTGCATGGGGAATAAATAAATAATCTCTAGGAACTGAAGTCTGCAGTCTACACTGCTGGCAAATCTTCGACAGCTTCTGGTCACCAATATTAGTAAATTGCGCCTCCGCACTGATTGCAAGCACCTGACTCAGCGATGTCACTACAGAACGGGAAAATGGGGTGGGGAGTGGGGAGGAGCCTGAAGAACGAAATAGGGAAAATCCGTGGTGGCAGAGCGTCGCAAGAAAGACGGAGATTACGCTAAGTATTCGCATTTGCTAGTACCTCCCTGAGAAGGCCCAATATGGGAGAAGCATACTGAGGACGGGCTGCGCGGGTGTGAGTAAAGCGTTCCCCTTTGTCTTGGGAGCGTGTGCATAAGTGCACAAGCAGCTGTTTCTCTACGTTCTCAATGTTCTTTTCTGTGCACGAAGAATCTAAATAAAGAAAAACGCTCGAAGCCAGATGGGTTAGTGTGCTTGAAGGCGGTCACATGACTTGAGAGGAAGCGGTTTTGGTGACGCATTGAACTACATTGGTGGACTGTACCATCCAACGAAGTGGGTATAGAAGTCGTCTAAGTCGACGATCTTAATCCCTAATCAAAGCCTCTAATATGACCATGAGTTGACGATCGAGTTAGCCACGTCCCTAAACAACAAAAGGTCGAGCAAACCCCTTGTTTGGCACTCACCCTCCATGCACAGGTACCAAGACGTTTGTTCAGTATTCACAAGTGATTAAATATTGCATACTTGTTTCATTCTTTTAAGATTATATTTTGTTGCCATCAAGGTCCCTTTTGAATAATAATCGCCGTAGGTTAATTACTTCATGATGAATGTGATCACCAAATCAATTTACCGAACCACCACCTCATTTTTGGTGCACATCATCCTGCCGAGTGAGGGGGGGGGGGGTGTTGGGGAAGTTCTTCCACCAAAAACGTTTTGACGTCTCCATATCGAGGATTTACCCCAGCAGCCATCATGAACACTGCCAGGCGAGGATTGTCTTAAGGCTCATAACAAGACCACACGAAGACTAGGAGAAATATTTATGGATTACGGCAAAACTAAGGAGGACAGCAGCAACCACGGTGATGTAAACGAGATCGCTCTACGATATCCGATCCCGTGAACCCGGTTTTGACACAAAATAAATTGTCCGCTTTAAAAAATCCACTGTACTTCATGGGGCCCTACAACAATCCTTCCACCTGCTTCTCATCCGGGGTTACCTTCAAGGACGGCTAAAAACTCGCATTTCACAATATTTCTAGAAAGTATTCAGAACCCCTTCATTTTATCCCGAAATTCGCCTTGATTTGATTTTTTATTTTCGAAAGATAAACCCATCTCACAGTTCTCTGGAGGATTTTTTTCTGCCCAACTGAACTGTTTGCTCGCTATCACTTTCGTTTTTGAGGGTGATGGGAGAAGGGATTACTACCGCATTTCGAGGAGAAAAAAAAACAAGGAAGAATTTTCAGGCAACCAAATGGCGGGAGGTTCGGCCTGAGGTATCTTCGGGCAACCAAATGGCGGGAGGTTCGGCCTGAGGTATCTAGTATTGAACAAATGATCAAGCCAAATTCATGGCAAGAAACCGTCGCGCAAACGTGACACATTTGAAAAACCAGCCAGATTTAGTCAGAGCGTGCTCTTGGGTAGTTTCTTTACAAGAGGTCATAAGCCTGCTGCAGCGCTCCTTAGAAGCCTGGGATAACGACAGCGATTGACGAAGATCGAGAAGTCAAAGGCTCATCGCAGGCGATGCGAACTCAAGGTACCCAAGTGTGCGGAGCTATCCGCACCTAACCAATTCACTACATCTAGAATTGAATATAATAAGACAACTGAAACAGTATCCAAAAGATAATGTTGACGATGAATACGTAGGCTTAACACTGCCTGTGATGTGAAAATGAGGAAAAATATAATATTTACCAAGTGTACAAATCCAAATTTCATAGCAGAACTAACAGCTAACACGGCAAGGAAAGCTCCTACACAGCACAGAATAAAACAAAGTAAAAAGAACACCAATGTCGAAGATATATCACAATTTAAATCTAGTAGGACTTGAGAGTTAAGAAACTCCGAAAAAAAGCAAGTATCATACAAAGCCAGTTAACGACGTTTGCAAGCGACTAAGTTACTCACAAAATGAGAAGATTAATTACTGTCAGCTCCTATCAAACTGTTCAATCTCTCCAGATATCGTTGACGATTATGTTCGATCAATGTCCATTTCCTTTCTGTGTACATTCGTTTCCACTGAGAAGGATCCGATGCTACCTTCAAACAAAATTGTACAAACTATAGATTTTGTTACATTATGATTACAAAGACCCAAAAGGCGTAATAACTTCGTATAATGCGGGTGAGCTAGCGCAGGTTCACCAGACCGTACAACGTTACAAACTGTGCCTGACAATGCGCAGTGTAAAAGGTGATTTCAACAAAATTGATCGCGAAGCAGAGTAAATTCATGGAGCTGTGATAAACCATTCCGAAATCGTCTTCTCCTCAGCTTTTAGCCACCGGATATTGGTATCCGAACTTTATTCGGTCAACAAACGTATTCGGCCAATCGCCTTCCTTTACGATCTTCATGCAGCATACATATAAACGCTCGGCTTCGAATAAGGTTAGCTGGTTACGACTTCGTGCTTGACTCATTTCCCCTCAGTTTTTCCTTCATGTGATCCAAAATGGTGCTTGAATGAATTTGTTTCAAAAATATGCTTTGATTTGCAGGCTCCGAAGAAGGCGATTGCGCCGAAACGTTAGCCGAATAAAGTTGATACCAATCTCGGTGGCTAAAGCAGAAGCAGAAGACGATTATAATCATGCCGAGATTAATGGAGAGTCGTTCATGGACTATTCATGTCCGAATCCTTCCTCTTATTCTTTTCTCCCAATTGTGATATCCATTCATTAATTACGACTAGTAACAAGACTCATGCGAACGCATAAATCAATAACCAAGTAATCAAAAACAAGTGAAATTGGAGCACAAAAAAATCTGTCAACTGATTCAAGTAGCATAGCTAACCTGCTGATCTCTAGTACGTTCAAGATCCATTCGAATATCGAGAAGGTCTGCAGATGGGTACGATTGTTTGATTCGCATGGCAATGTCATCAAGCATTCTAGTATCGACCACTCTTCTCTAAAAACGGACATAAAAGTTCACACTTTTGGGAAAAAATCACTCTTGGAACAGCACTTACTCTGACTGGAGTGGGAGCAACTCTTGAATGAAGATGTCTTTTAGCGGCTTCCACAGCATCCGCGTGCGTTAGATTCGTGACAATAAGTCCAAGATGTTCTGCAATGCCAGCCTCCACTCGTGAAGAAAACTCTTCCACGGATTCCTGCGTTGTCGAGTAGAAGGAATGGTGATAATAAACACATGTGCGCAGATCAACTTACATGTTCTCTCCTTTGCAGAACTGGTAACCACGTGAGGTGATAGACACTTATAGGTAGAAATGCAAACCAAGCAACATCGGCCCACCACGTGGATCCAAGAAGGGATGGAGATATATTGAAAAACGGCCGTGAGATACGCATAGCCAGTGGTTGTACCTGGTCGGACACCTCGCACGGCCAAGAACTGAAAAAGTGCTTAATAGAAAAAAATTAGTTGAAACCTTTTCGAGTTGCATTCCTAGGTTCACAAAGTAAAACGCTGCTCCTGAATACAAAAGTAGAGACAGTCGAGGGCACAAAATTAGGAATCCGTGTATAAATTCGTAAGGTGGATGTCAGATTCGGAAACTGCGCAACTGCAACACCCAACACCGCTGTCGTCATTGATCCGTATGGTTGGCGTTAGGCGTGCTGTCGCGACTGCACAATTACCGAGTCTGACATCCACCTAACGCAGGAAACTGAGGTCAGTTCAGTGAGCGGAAGAATGACGGTGGGAGGGCAGCCTTACCCAGTACGTT